CCTGCCCTGTGCTTTTTAGTGAAGAGTCTGCAGTGACACTAGGTTCGTGATTTCCATTCCGATTACTCCTCAGAGGTTTGGGAGTTCTGATGAGAAAGAACGTAGATTGTAAAACCTGATAAATTCGAGTTTTCTGATAAACTTAGACTGAATAAATAAATTTCATATAACTGTACCTGGATTATTAGGATGCCTTAATGATTCGAAATAAAATTTATCAAAATGTTCGTCAAACTGTGCAGTTCGTTTTCTTGTATATTCACTAAGTACACCATCTGGTGTTCACGAGGTAAAACGTTATTGATTTATTCAGTGATACGTTGCAGCATCGGTCGATCGTAACTTCAGAAAACCAGCTAACTTTTGCGTACGTTATGGACTCCCTTATCTGGGCCTAGTCTTTTTTAGTCCATCTAGATACATTGCGCATTTTCGCTGCTCCTTTTGTGTGCGTCCCAGAAAAGCATTCGACTTGACTTTTCGTTGTTTTGTAAAAATCTTGATGAGGTTAATTGCAGAGGGTGCTAAGAAATCGCAAAAATTGAAAAAGGGCAAAATTAGTTACTATTTTAAATGACCTAGTTTTGTTTCTGTTGTCTGTTTTGCCGTCATTATTAAGGCCTGGCAGAGCTTAAAAAATGATTAACCAAAATTTATGTCCTACCTTTAGAAACCGTATCTCAGATTAATATAAGGCAACGTTCGCTCATGCAGCAGCAAAGGTTATATTCCTCCTGGAGAAGGTCTATCTCGATGAGGTCTTTTCATGGTTTTTGTTGTCCTCAGGCACGTCTGTAGCCATTGCAGGGCTTTGAGGCGTTAAAGATTTAGGATGATTCAGATTTAGATCGATTCTTTTATTGAACCGTTTTTCAAACAAAGCCAGGCGTCGGTCTCTGAGTTCATCTAATAGTCTTCTCAGTCACTGATCACAGCATTTGCTCGTTCATGACCCGGTGGTGCCATCGCACCATAAGGATAATCTGGCATTTGGTCATATGTCAATGACTGTTCTTTAATGACTTGACAACTTCCATGTATAAACGCACATAGTCAATAACAGTGATAACGATAATTTTTCTATTATTTTATTAAAAAAAATAAAATCCGCTATTCAACTTCGAAAATTTATCGTGTAATTTTTAGATATCACATTCAGGCT